AAAAAGCTTTTATGAGCAGAGCTCGAGATCTTGCTCGTTAAATTAATAGGCTGATAAACGACCTTGATCTTTAACGAGCCAATACATGATAAAAGTTCAAAATATTATGTAAAGACCTTTATTTATTAAGTCTTAATGAGCCTCGTTAACTAAACGAACCTTAAACGAATTCGAGCTCGTTTATTTTTCATACGAGCTGAAGTGAGCTTACGAGCGACTCGTTTCTAACACGGTAGGAATAACAAAATCTTTTACTCACCCAAAATAAAATTAAAAATATATATAATAAAATATGCAGAGGGGTTCCAAGGTTAACTAACTACTACGAAGAGAAATATCTAGATGAATAAATCAAGAATGTTGCAACAAATATAGTGCAATAAATGTTGATAACAACGGGCCATACTATGATATTAACCAATCACTGTTATGAGCTCTTTGTGGTGGAAATGGGCTGGGCTTTACCTGCAGATTATGGCACAGATTTAGGACACATATGGTTTCTTATGGCCCACTTTACATTTTGTTATCCAGATTTTTCCTTCAACATCAAGGGCAGCAAAAATTTGAGGGAACATTCTGAATTTTTCGAGAGTCAAATATACTTTTCCTTTTTCCTGATTGATTTTAATGAGTGGCCACCACTTTATTAAAAGACAGTTGTGTAGATTTTTCTGAATTTATTTTTATTTTTCAATTTTTTTATGAATACAAATTTGGATGATTTTATTGCAAATTAAGCAAAAACAAATTAATTAACTTACATATTGAGGAAATATAAAAATGTCATATTTAAAAGAAAAAATTTCGATCTCTTGTCCACAATGGGTACGAGTATGGCAAGAGATTGATATATGGCAGTAATATACAATACACAGCTAATTATCAAACATCATGATATCTTGATACTGTAGTTGGCTCCACGATAGGTAGATGAATATTTGCGTATAAAAATAACATACAATACATGATTGATATGAAAGAAAATACACAACATCATTTAACAACTGGAGTAACTTGGTGTTATTTGGCTATATCCTAAGCTAAGTAAACAATCTTGAATGTGCACATTCAATTTCGATTTGTATGTTTATTTAAAATTCACATAAAAAAATAAAAAATAATAAAATAAAAAATGAGTAGTTCGCGAATAAAGTCAATTCGTTGAATAAACAAGCTCGATTAATTATTGCGTTTGACTTGTTTAAATAACGGACGAGTCGAGTTTGAACTTTCATGAACCAAATCGAGTTGTAATAGCGAACAACTTGCCTTAACAACTCTACTTAGAAAAACATAAGTTTTTGAGTAAGATAGCGTAATAGTTGGACGAGTCTATCTGTCATACTATTTGAACAAAAATGCGTACTTATACTAGCAAATATCATACTTTTATTTATGTTGTTTTCTAAAGTATGACATTTTGTAATGAAAGCATATACATTTATTAAAAAAAAAATATAGGCCTATTGATTAGGTCGGCCTACAAATATAACACCAAGCAATCGTTACCAAAAAAAAAAACTGTAAAAAAAGTTATTTAAAGTATTTAAAGTACTTTGTTTTATTAGATAGTTGTGTAAGAGAAATTAATGAAATGTGACCAGCTTATGACCTACCTTACATTATGATTCAAAATTTCAAATTATAAGAGAAATCAACTAACACGTTATATGTTTTTAAGGAATGGTGACCAGCTAGTGGCAAACCTACCACTACATTATGATTCAATTTCTAAGAGAAATTAAATAACACGATACTAGTACGTAACCCGTGCGATGCACGGGATGTAAAATTTGGAAGAATAATATAACCTCACGTGCATTAGGATCGAAATTGAAATCATTAAAATACATAGGAACATTGTTGAATCATAAAAAGTTCGGTAACAATCATATATTATTAAAAACCTCCTTGTACACAACATTATGAGTTTGATTATTTGGTAACTCCTCATTATCACAAACTAATATTTTCAAAAGAGACAAATCCTAAAAATCAAACTAATATTTTTGGTGAACAAACTAATATTTTAGGATTGATGAACAAACTAATATTTTAGAATTTCTAGGATTTGTCTCTTTTTGGTGAACAAATTAATATTTTAGGATTGGTTATATGAATAAGGCTACCGGTTTTTTGTGTTCATTTCATTTATTTTCATTCAAACAATCCGATGACTTGTATAATGAAATCCGAATCTCAAGCCGAAATATTTAAAAAAAGAGTTTTTAAAAATTGAAAAGTCAAGGCAATCAGTTCAGATTAATTAAAGGTCAAAGAATATCCGTTCCTTGAAATAAAGACGTGTGCTATCATTATTGATATAGAGTGGTTACCGAAAAATAGAACGCGATAAGGACGCTTCATGGAAATATCAATGGGATAAGGTCATAACAGATCGATATACATTTTAACGATAAAAGCTCAAATTGAATGATTTATGATAATTATGTCGTAATTAATGAATTAATTAGATGTGTGAAAATGACATAATTAATGAGAAGTATGAAAAGGACATAATTAATGAGAAGTGTGAAAAAGACATAATTAATGAGAAGTGTGAAAATGACAAAAACTTACCGGTTTTGGAAAATATTTAATGCAAATCCGACATTAACCATAATTTGACCTACTATTTTGGATAAATGTTAATTCTTACTCCCTCCTTTTTTTAATAGATGTCATTTTGAGAAGTTGCACACTAATTAAGAATATTTTTTTTGCCAAAATAACCCTCATTAATGAGGATAGAGGTGGATGTTTTGAGAAAATATAAAGAGTGAATATGAAAAGACCTAGTGTATTTATTACCTAGATTAAATAAGGGTAATAATGGAAAAATATGTACAAAAGATCCAAAACGTCATTTATTTAGACAATTATTGATAAAGCCAAAATGACATTTATAAAAAAAAGGAGGTAGTAGTATATAAGTATAGATATCCTTTTNAAATTCATCAGAAAATGCAAAATTTCATTTTATGGTAGAAACCTCGACAACCAGACCAATCACGCATTGGCAACAGTAAAACCATGGCTAAAAGACGAAATAAATAAATAAATAAACCAACGTAAAATAAAACAAAAAAATTAACCATTCAGGATTCAGCCCCACAAATGAAAACGACAAATTCAAATCCCCTTTTTGTATATAAAATCCCTAAACCAGTGATTCAAACGATCATCGCTAAACATACGATCGAAATTTTTTCTTGTAAATTATACATATGAAGCTATTTTCGGAGTTCATGTCCTGCTGGGGCGGAGCAGCGGTCACTCCGGCGGAGGATTCCGCCGGAGGCAGGCGTAACGCGGAGGAGGCAGCGGAGTTCTGCCGCGATCACGGTAGGGCGGCGGCCTGCCGGAGGGCGCATAACTGGAAGCCGAAGCTGAATGCGATCTCGGAAGACCGCCCGATCGCGGTTGCGGACGGGACCGGCGTTAATCCGCGGGAGGGCGGAGGTGTCGTCGGGAAACGGTCGGTGAAGGTGAAACCTAAATCGGCGGCTGCGAAGGCTGCGCCGCTGCGAATTCACGATGGGGACTACTGGTAAGCTATCTATTTTATTATGTTACTACCAATTATATTAAAAATAATTGATTTTTTTTTTTTTTTTAACTGTAAATTCAGGCAGATTATTTTTACTAAAATAGCGAATTTTTAATTTGTGATTTCAGGAAATCTGCACAAATGATGGCCGTGCCGGCGTTTGCTCCAACGTCGTTTTCGTTCTGAATGCGATCAGAGCTCAACTCATCTTTCTTCTCGTGGTCTGCTAAAATTTGTATATTCTCCAGTCAATATATATTTTCTTTCCCTATTTTAGTTTAGATTTTCTTTTTTACGTGAGTTTAGATTTTCTTTGTGAGACTTTTATTAAGATATTTTTTAGCAAATTAAAATTATTGTAGTTCTTGAGAAGTGTGTTGGGACGACGACTACTGTTGTTATTATTATTATTATTATTATTATTATTATTATTATTATTATTCTTATTATTATAGAGTAATGTCTTGTATATGTCAATTTATAGGTGTAGGATTTTTCGTGTGAACTTATAATGTTTCATATTTACATATGTGGTGCTTGTTAAGGTGTCAATCTTATTATATACTGTATTTAATTAAAATTATAAGCATCAAATTAATTATTTCTTGATGGATTTTGATGTGATATTTGTATATAAACAGATATATATGTATAGTTATAATAAAAATTAAATTAATTAATATTTATTAAAAAATAATAAATGCAATCATCAATTAAATAAATTTATTTATATAGTAATAGTATATGAATTAAAAGTTGTTATAAAACAACAAAGTTATTATAATATAGAATGTGTAAATCAACAAGTTGCATGTATGTTTTGAATATAAATAATTTTAAAAATTATTAAAATTTAATAACAGCGAGGAAAGCAATTATTGATCGTTGCTTTAATATGGTGAGGTTCGGTGCGAAATCTCACCAAATGCATCGATTCGGATCGATTCTTCGGGTGCACTTTTATTTACCCCTACCTAGGACTGTAAACCAGCTGAGTTGAGTTCGAGCTTAGGGTGCTCGAGCACTTAACGAGCGAGTCGAGCTTGGCTCATTAAATAAACAAGCCAGAAATCGAGCTTGAGTTTGGCTCGTTAAGGCCTCGAGCTCGAGCCTTAACGAGCCGATTTCGAGTTTTAACAAACCGCACTGTAGAAAATTATATAAAAAATTTCTTTTTGAGCCTTATCGAGCCGAGCCGAGCCGAGCTCAACTCGTTAACTAAACGAGCTTTAAATGAACTCAAGCTCAGCTCGTTAAGGCCTCGAGGTCAAGCTGAGCCGAGCCAGGCTCCTTTAATTTAACACCACTACCCCTACTTGCAAATAGGGGCATATTATTTCACTACAAGAACATAATGAAATTTCAACCAAAATATATCCCAATGGAATTCCCAGCAGCAGTTCTAATGGATATAATACTATTATTTCCATTTGAATTTTTCAATGTTTTTCAATTGAAATTTCAACAAAAATATTTCGTTAGAATGTCTTTTATTGGATTTCGATGATTCCAAATGATAGATTTTCCAATAGTTGAAATATGATATGAGTGGAAATAAAAATTCCTAACGGAAATTTCATAATCCAACGAAAATTTCTATGATAAAAAATCGTTGAAAAAATAATCGTTGGAATCATCAAATTCTATCTAAAATTTCAATGAAAAACTCATTCCAACGGAGTATTTTTGTTGGAATGACAACGAAAGCTATATCATTGGAATATCGACAACGAAAGCTATATCATTGGAATATCCATAAGAATTTCTATTGAAATATATTACAATTATTTTCCAATGGAATATGATAATTTTTTTTGCAAAGTTTTGGGACAGAAAAAGGAAAAAAAAAAAGCAGAGAGAAATTTGAGACAGGAGCACTATTTTCATTTTACAGGTCTTGAGACCAAGTAAACCCAAGAAAGACACACATTCAAGAACAAGAACACAGAACCATATAGTACATAAATTCTGTGAAGTTGCCACATGTATCCTAAAGCAAACCATTCACATTTTACAGACAAAAAGGCATTGAACCTCATGTCAAGTATTACACATCAGATGAATTCTAATTTTTGTCGATCATTTTCACCTGTTAGATATATATATTCACAAAAAAAGAATATATCTCGTATAAATTAGCCGTATTAACGTGCACAGATTTGTTCGTACACCTCGAAAAAAGGGTATAAAGATTTCAACTTTCGTCATCCGAACTGAAATCATCGTCCAGCTGGCGCTCCCTCATCGCGGGGAACAGTCTCCGGTGACTCTCGATTGGTGACTCCGAAACAGCAGACGCTGACGTGGCAGGTTCGGCAGCTGCTGTCTCCTTCCTTGGCTCTGCCTTCATCCTCGACGAGCTCTTCACATCCAAGCAAGCCTTGTCCAGCATCAGCAGAAAATCGCGCACGATCACAAAAAGGTGGGACCCCTCTTCCCTCCCGGCCCTCCCGTGGAAATAATCCCCCGTGCTGCGCACCAGCGCCGTGATCCTACGTTCCTCGTCTTTAAGCCAGTTAATATCCGACTCACACTGGCCCACGAATCCAGTCAGCGCCTCTCGAAACCCTCCATCTTCTTCTTCAACCCCTTTAATCTCCGCCTCCAGAAAAATCTTGGTTTGCTCGAGGGCCAGCCCGAGTCGATGTGCAGTCTCGATTAAGCTCTCGTTATCGACAAGTGCAGCTTTCTTCACATTCTTGAGCTCACTGCTTAGCCCGGACACGACTTGAAGCCCGAGGGCCCGGTGGTAATCCTCCGACTCATTTGAAGGGTTGTCTAAATAGAGATCCTCGGTTTTCACGCTCGACAAGCTTCGGCTTTCTTGGAGGCGACGGGCGGCTCGAATGCCCTCCGAGCGGATAATCTCTCGGACTACAAAGTGGAGGAGTGTCGTTTTACCGTCCGTGCCCTTAACGTCCGAGAGCTTGAGGAGAGTGTCGAGCTTGAACGCTTGTGCTCCGCCGCGGTACGTGCCGTCGTTCATGCGATTGCCCGTTTTCAGAACAGCTTCTAGAAGCTTCAGAAACAGGCGGCTGTTCCTGAGCTCCTTGCACGCCACCTGGACAAAAAAGGCGAGAAAAATTATGGATTTTTTTTTTTCGAAATTCGTATAACCATTTCGGAGACAGTAGGAAAGGAAATTTAATGGCAAAAATGTATTTTTAGTCCTTTTGATTTAACGTCATTGTAATTTTAGTCCCAAGGTTTCAACTTTTCGCCTTTTAGTCCTGTGATTTAGTATTTTGTTGCAAATTCAGTCCTACTGAAATTGCAACAAAATTTTAAATTACAAGACATAAATTGCTAATCGAAAATCTGAGAATTTGAAAATTTGTTACTATTTCATCTTCAAATGACTGAAATTACAACAAAATATAAAATCACAGGACCAAAAGGCAAAAAAATGTTAGAATCTTGGGATAAAATTGCTATGACGTTAAACTAGCAAGACTAAAAATGAAATTTAGCCAAGTTTGATTTAAAACCGAACCTCCAAAGTTGCCAAGGACTCTTTGGTGGAAGAGAAGTCTTCCTGAAAAGTGCTTACGAAGAGCAAAGCTTCGAGGCGTTTGAAGGCAAACGGGATATCGACCATGATCTTGAGGAACCTCTCGGCTGGACCCAGTTGAGAGATATCTCCACCGTATAATCGAAGTTTCAATTCTTCATCTGATGTTGGTGCCATTCTAAGCAAAGTTTGGACGAGTTCTGAAGGGAGCTCATTGCCTGATTATAAACATTATAAAATCGGAGAAGTTATGTTAAATTTCAGAGACTAATCAATATGAATCATGTAAGAAAGGAAGAACCTTCTTTGAGAGCATCACAGACTTCTTCTGTCGTCACATTCAATGCTTTTAGAAGGATCGCCAAGTTTTGCGATTTTTTCGGGTCAATAATCTGAATAAACTGAGGAGAATTGAATGAAGACGAGTCGTTTTTGTGCTCGTTCTTGTTTTTATCAGCAGCAGGTGTATATCCAAAGAGACTCTCCATCATCTCCTCATTGAACCTACAAAAAATCCACACAAATATCATCCAAACTGAAAACTCAAGACGATATATATAAATAAACAAACAGAGTACTTACTGAAACGAGCCAGCCTTAATCTCGTGCCACACCATCGAGTGATTCGGGCTCGCAAGAACCTTATCCCAAAAAAACGGCTTCAACTTAGCTTTCGGAGCTTCAGATTCATCCGAGCCATTGCTTGCCTCAGCTGTGGAAGATTGCCGGTGGTGGTGGGGCCCAAGAGGGGATGGATTGGGGGGTGTTGGCCGGAGACCAATCTTAGGCGGCGGTGGAGCTGCCGGAGCTGGCGGTTTGGCCGGAGGAGGTGGCGGCGGTGGCCTGGGTGGGGCAGCCGGCGGTGGTTTTCTTCCCGGAGGAAGTGGCAAAGCGTTTAATACGTTTTCCCCTTCTGCATGAGATTCTTCGGGATTATTAGCGGCCGGCGATAAGCCGCTGGTGGTCGGAGGGACCTTAGCAAGATTTTTGCTGCTCGGGTTACTCAAGTTGTTGCCGGAAGAACCTGAACAAATTATATATTATTTGCATCTATACCCCTCGATTTTGTAAACAGTGCAAATAAACCAAATTCCTTCCTCGAATCTTGCATTTTAGGGCGTAATTATCTAAATATATTTGACGAATTCGGTTATGACGAATGTACCTGCCGAAATACTGCTGATGGTAAAGTTGAGGAGAGGCTTCTCATCTCTCTGCCCCTCCTTCGGCTCGACTCTTCTCTTCCTCTTCAGGCAGATGAATAACAATAGAGCTATGGTTATAAGTCCCAAAACCGAAATCGCCACTATTAAGCCAGCAAACATATACTTCCGATTATTATTATCATTATCATTATTGTTGTCACGTGACCTCTGGCTAGGCAACACATTTTCCGGCAATGTTGAAGGTTGATTGATGTCCGCCTGAGGGGAAGGAGAGGGCGAGAGAGAAGGAGAGAGAGAAGGAGAGAGAGAGGGGGAGAGAGAAGGAGAGAGAGAAGGAGAGAGAGAGGGGGAGAGAGAGGGAGAGAGAGAGGGAGAGAGAGAAGGAGATAGAGAGGGAGAGGGAGAGAGAGAGAGGGTATGAAATGTGGGGCCTGGGCCCGAAGCTTTTGCCACAAACCGATGATGCCTTCGGTTCCTGTGCCTAAGGTACCTTCTCGGAATGCGCTCGGAAATTGAAAAAAGATTTCTAGACAAAAACGATTGCTTGTCAATTGACATGAGAAAGTTTTCTTCTGTACCACTGCAGTTGATGATAGTTTCTTCATTCATGAAGGTTTTCGTTTGGTGTAATTTCGAATCTTGGTTCTTAGGAGATACTGAATTGTCATGCAGCTCGTTTATACAATGGTCCGTTGCTTGTACAGCCTGTCCAGACAGTATATGAAAGAAACAATAATGAAATGGAATAAGATTCATAGTTCAGCTAAAGCAAAAGAATCTTGCATTCTTATTCTAAAAACAATAAAGGATATTTGAAATGCTTAATAGTTAATAGTAAATTAGTAACTAAGCAATAACTTAAAAGCTCCCAGACATGTTTTATCGGATGACCCTCCATGTGCTCAGCAGGGAATAGAAAATGCACTCCACATGCATTATTAGACTAACAAAAAAATGCAGTTAACTACACAAGCATGAGAAGAAGCAAAAGCTAGTTTGCCCCCACATCGAACCACTACACAAACGAGCACCGAAGATCATTGCGTACGAGCCTTGGCAAAAGATCAACATTGAAATCAAGGGGAGGTCGTGTAATTTTCAGATAATAACAAATGTATGCAATGTGAAAGAAAATTATACCACAGAGATTTATTTACCTCTATTCTATTTCAACAAAGCAATCAATCATTATTAACCCAAATTTTAATAACATCTATACAAACTCAATAGCCGAACAAAAATATCACAGACCGTGTATTTGTTAATTTCTTCGGCATCCAAAGAAGCTCCATCGTCTACACAGCTCTGTGCTAATTTCTTCCTTCCTTCAGAATTATTTGCTGCAAAAACACATACAAAAGCAACAAAGAGGGCCACAAATCTGGTGTCCATTTTCTCTCAAATTAACCATTATTAACCCAAACCCATTTTTTCAGCCCTTCTCATTTGGATCAACCTGAAAAATAACACACATAGCCCTTTTTTTCTACAGCTATGTATGCACACAAAGACGTGTTCTAGGCTTCAACCCTCGAAATGCAATGTGCCCCAGATGAAGAAAAATCAAAATAAAGAATCTGAAATAATCTTTCAGCTCCAATATGAAAAATCCGCCTCCCAGAAAAAAAAAATGAAATCTTTGCTTTTATTTAAGGAAAAAAAATATATAATTTTTCGTATAATGCACAAAATCCCCAGAAACAACTCTTTCCTTGGGTACCCAATACGAAAGATGAAAAGGTAGAAAAATTACAGACTCAAAAGGGTGGAAACAAATGGGGCTCTCATTCAGAAATGGAGCTTAAATTACACAGCTTCGCCACCAAAAAATTGCACCTTTAATGGCTTCTGTTAATGGGATTTTTGGCCGGGAAAGAAAATGAGAGGAAAGGGAAAAAGCTTTTTCCGGTAAAAAAATGAATTTCTGTAGAGAATTTTGTTCGATGATAATGGTGCATGTTTTACGGAGGTGATACAGAGCAAATGAAAGAGAAGAAACGTGCGAAGAACTATGAGATTAGGAAGAAAAAATTATTATAAAAATTAGTACTAATCTAATTTATTATATTTAGAGAAGCAAAATATTTTAAATTTGGAGGGGATTTTTTTTTTTAAATAAATTTTATGACAAATATGAATTTTGAATTAAAATTATTACTAAGTTGATTAATTTTAAAATTACAAAATTACTAGTTAAGTAACTGGATTTCTACTTAACTATTTTTAATTTTTTTTTCCCAATTTTGGGCATAATGTGTAATGATAGTATGATACTTGATTAATCAAATATAATGTTGAGGATTAGGGTCAAATTGCTCCTCAAGTGGAAATTAGAAATTTAACCTAACTATTTGATTGCCAATTTCAACAATCTCTACAAATATTCGTCAGTTCCAGTTTTGTGGGATGCATATATTTTAAAGTTTTTGTTATTTAGTCCTGTGTTTTTATAGTATTTTGTTAATATTTATAGGGTACGCCTAGTATGTTTGCCTTTATCCATTTTTAAGTTTAACTACAGTTGGTGCTCAAATTGTATCCGTTAGGTCATGTCAGACTTCATATTTTATTTTATTTCAAAGGACAATATTTTTATGGTTGGATAAAATATAGTTGCTAATCAATAATTTTTCATAATGTTGTAAAAAACTATTAAACTCCAAAAATTCATGCAATGAATCTCATAATGGTGGTGTAGAAAATATAACATCTATACATATATAAACGAACATTCAAACTTTAATAATAAATAATAATCCTACTATGTACTGCAATAACTTGTCATCCATCATAAAAATAAAACTGCAATCTAACTTTGCATGGAAAAACAAGAAAATGCAATGACAAAAATATATAAATATAATCAAGTCATTATGAAGCTAGCCGAAGCTTATTAGTATATAGTATAAGCCACAAGTTTATACTATTTTTGCTTCAAGACGTTTACAACTTTTATAAGAACCCCTTGACACTTAGAAACAAATTAAAAATGTTCAAGTGACAGATTCTAATTAAGAATGTATATATAAAGATGTAATGTATTTAAGCATTCAATAGTTATCAAAATTTGGAGCTTTCATGTCATTGCTTATTTTATTCCATTGTCTTTGAGCTTCAATAAAACTAAGACTTAGATGAGGTCCCTTAGATTGACTTGTTCCACTTTGATCTTCGTTGGTCATTGAGTTGATCCTGCAAGAATTTAGCAACCAAAATTAGGATAATTTTAAGATTGTACTTTTCTCACATGCAAAAATATTTAAGCCAGTGATTTATTTAGTAATCAAATATGTCAAATTTAATTTTTCGGTCCAAAATACAATAATTATCCTTTTTTAAGGAATGATTTTACCATTTAGGAAAATTATTAACTTATTTAATTTTTTTTAGAAGGAATGGAAGTTTGTAGTTCATTAGGTAAAAAGTGGAAATTCATTATTATTAAGCAAGGAAAATATTATTATGAAATAAATGAAAAATAATACTCCGTATATAATACCCATTTTGGTGGCTCCCTTCAATGGAGGTGTCAGTTACAGAAGTTGCATCATCCATTAGAGCTGTTGATCCCTGTAATTTGCAACCCATCTGTTAATTGCATAATAATTTTGTTTCATATGTCAAATTATAATCTATATATACACATAAATTAATATGCATACTAAATTCATTGTGACTAAATATAAATTTTCACTTAATTATTGCGTATCATCGTTAAGCTACAAAATAATTGTAGTTTCTGACTAATATCATTATAATTACCTCGATATTTTCAGTTCTTTCGGGAACCGGTTGGTTGCCTAGCAATTTGGCCTACACAAATATGTAAGAATTTAATGTAAGGTGTTGTATATATAAATTTGAACTATATATATAAAACACTCATATAGCTAGAGTCCGCTAAATAAGATCTTAACAGGTTTGAAAAGAATTATTTTTATATAATTTTCTGTAGTTCGGATTTTTAAAACTCGAGTTTGACTCAATAATATTGATAAACAAGTTGAACTCGAGTTTGACTGACTCGTTAAGTTAACAACTCGAGATCGGTTCGCCTCGTTTACACTTTTAGGCATGCCCAATGGTTGGACATCTATTTTTAATAGACTAGTAAAGTGCACGTGCGATGCAAGTGGTGACGAATGTTTTTTGTCGATTAATTTTAGTAAGATAAATTAATTAATTTATTAAACATATGATTGCAGTAAAAAAAAATATAAATTAAATAAACTCTTAATTATTTTTTTTTTCAAAAATAATATAATGATGTCGCAATATAAACAAATTTAAATAATATATTACAACCCCAACAAAAATATATGAAAATGAGTCCATAATAAAAAAAACACTAAATTAGGACCTAATGTATATTATAGATGCATGAGTTCTTTTATTTATTTATGTAGATTCAAGAGTGATTTTCTTTCATTCTAATTTGATGTTCTCATAAGAAACATTTATACTCGTTGTATTCCAATACATCAATAGTATTGTTAATTTTTTCTTAATTAATTTGGTAAAACGTGTGCTTTATTCAACACTTAGAGATACTTTAGCCAAACATATAGTCAAACTTCATGATTGTATGATCATTATAAAGTATATTTACTAACAGTTTATAAATATCTCTGTGATATAACCAACTGTATCATTAGAGTTCTTGATACTTGTGTCATTAAAATTCTTGATATTTTTTAATTATTGTATAAAATACTCCACAAAAAATATATTTTTAAAACCATTATGGTGTTCTCTTTCAAGCAATAATTGCATAATAGTTTAACATACAACTCATTTATTTTTTCTTTTAATTCATATAGTTAATATTGGTAATAGATGTACGTTTACATCCAATTACACTTTTTTCTTATTATTGAATATTTCAAATCCATGTAAGAAAAATATACCACAAGTTTATCCAATATTATTTTATAATTAATAAAATTGAGTTAACATGGATCTATAAATTGGTATATATTATTTTAAATTGGTCTATGCATATATATATATTCTATTTACAATACATTGGTCAAATCAAACAGCATGAGAAAAAAATGATGTGATATATTAAATATAAAAGTGAAACATAAAAAATATTAAGTATTTCAAAATTTAAAATTTTAATGGTAAAAATTAATTAAATTGTTAACTAAAAAGATGATGACTAACATACGAATTTCAAACGCAAAAAGATAAATATAGTTTTTACAAATGTGCATCTCAAGTATGTTTTACATTTATCATTCGCTAGCTTCAATTGATATGGAACATTTACTAATTTTATTTTTTATTATTTCTTTTGGATGAAATGTGAGCTATAATCTTTCTCATTGTGTAGTTTTACCTTTTCATCATGTAGAACAATATTCTTACCTCTTGTTTAGTATTAGTTTTACCTTTTTATTACATTGAACATCATTCTTACTTCTTGTTTAGTTGTTATAATACTAATAAAATAATTAACTGCACACAATATCATATATAGTGCTTTTTTTTTTATTTGGAGTCATACTTTTACTGCAAGAAAATGATGAAGTTCTAATAAAAGCATATTACAACGGAATTTCAACAACAACTCTAACGATTATTTCAATGTTACAATTCTCGTTTGAATTTTTCAATGAATATTTTAACAAAAATACTTTGTTAGAATTATGGCTCCATGTTTGTCTAATAGTCCCGACACATGGCTCATCCCAAAACATATAGTATAAGATATCTAACAAAAATTATGGAAACATTTTTCATAATTTTAATCATGCCCTTTATTAAAATAAAATTAAACGAAAGAAAGATAAATAATAAATTAATTTAAAACTCCATCAATTATAATTTAGTTCAACTCATAACTATATCAAAGTTATAATATAAATGCAATATTACAACTAAACGAAATATAACAGTTATCAAAATTTACAATTTTACGCTCTATTCTCTATTTTCCTTTTAATCTTGATGATAGCTTATATTCTCTCTTTTGCGACATAATTTTATCTAACTTTAAAAAAATATTTTTATGTCTTTTTAACTATATGTAGAATTCTAGTTATATATTCGTAATTTATACATTCATCAATTATATTGTCGAGTCAACTATACTATAACATAAAATATTCGTTCATAATTTTTTTTAAAAAAATATAATATTTTTTTATTATTTTCATATGTCGAATTGAGAAAAGAATATTCTTTTCTTTTTAATATTATTGAACATATTGTTGTTGTATTAATGTGTAAAAAAAAGTATTACGTATGAGAAAGATGACAAATAATAAAAGCTATAATTTATAAATTGTAATGGCATTATGTTATTTTGATGGTACACTTATTAATCCACAAAAAATCTATTGTAATTTAATTTGATATCTATTGGGACAACATTATTTTTTTGTTATTACATTTTCTCATATTTATTAGTAAGTATTAAAACTTAGTTATATTTTTAATATTATGTATCAGATTTAATATTTTATTACTTTATATTGTTCTTTCATATGTTATATATATATATATATAACTTTTAGATTTGTTAAAAAATACATAAAATTAAGTATATAACTTTTTTTGGGTCTTATTATATCCATTATAGTTGTACATCTATATAATATATTATATATATAATTATAATTTTATCATTAATATTATACTCAAATATTAAAAAAATATGTACATCTTTTTTGAATAAAAAGTTGTTTAGCTTATTCGGTCGTTGGCTGTATATTCGGCTGAATAGTTGTTATCTAGTCTCATTTTGTTATTAATATAAGTCCTTTTTATTGTTCTGTTTCAAAAAAACATACGTGAGTAATGGTACTATATGAATATAATTTCTTGATAAAAATTTATTTATTTTCAGCGTGTATAGACATATTATAGTTCTCTAGATATTTTGAATTAATTTTCAAGATAATGACCAATAAAAGTATATATAACTATTGTCTATCACCTAAAACTTACACCTAGAATTAATAAGAACAAAAAATTAGCAAGCGTTTAACAACTCAGCTCGTTTACATCAATAAGTACAAGTTTTAAAAGTTTGATCTTTATTTTTATTAACCATAACATTTTATTTATTACTTTTTTTTTCATATTTTTTAGTAAGTGTTACAACTTAAGTGTATTTTAATATTATTTATCAAATTTAATATGTTTTTCCTTTATATTGTTATTTTATATGTTTTAATATATATATATATATACATATATATATATATATATTCCTTTATAATGTTTTTTTTCTTTAATATATTTGTTAGAAGAATATATAAAATTAAATATAGAACCTTTTGGGACAGTTGTCTTATTATAATCAATTAATTGTACATTTTTAATTTTATTATATATAATTAAATTTTTCTCATTAATATTATACTCAAATATAAAAAAATTAATTATGTACTTTTTTTTAATAAAAAATTACTTTATTAAAATAATACAGATAAATAGATAGATAAGTAATGGTAGTATATCGATATAATGTATTGCTAAAATTATTAATTTTCAACGTATATGTGCATATCATGATTTTCTAATTGTTTTTTAATTAATTTATAGATAATCATGTAATCTAAATTAAATCATGTTGCTCAAGCAGTATACATTTGAAATAAAAATAAAATAGTATGAGTTTTAGTATTATGCAATTTCATAAAAGTAGATTAGAAGTTTAGGCTGCAAAACAATCATTCAACAATTAATTTTTCATACTATTACATTATTTTTATAGGTTATTTAAAAAAAAAACGTTTTTATAATTTATGAGTGTTGTGAGGAAAAACATTATCGATTTTATTTTTTTTAGTTATAGTTATTAATAATAGATGAGTAATGATGATATATGATATAATTTATTGGTAAAAATTAATTAATTTTCAGCGTATAAGCATATCATGATTCTCTAGACATCTTAATTAATACGTAGATAATTATATGATCAAACTTAAATCATGTTGCTCAAGCAATATCCCATTCGACTAAAAAATGCATTGGATTTTAGTATTATATAATTTCATAAAATTACAATAATCTTATTTTAAGTAAAAAAATTGAGTATTTTAGAGTTTAGGTTGCAAAATAACTATTCAACAATTTATTTCTCATACTATTACACAATTTACTTTTTTTTTTCTAATTTATTATGAAAAAAATATATTAACTTTTTATTTGACATATTTTTAATGTCAAATTAGTAATATACTAATACTTATTTAATATTTAATTAATTAAATACAATTACACAAACCAAATATTCTAGACTAAAGTGCAATTTCTATTCTAGTTCTAAATATAAGAGTTTACTTTCTTAAATATTGAAGTAGCTAAATGAAATTGTTCAACTTCGCTAGTTTGTAAGATAATATATAAAATTATATTAAAAACAAGGATTTTTTTAAAACAACAATTCTATATCTTTTCAAAACTTTGTTGTTTAGGTTGATGTTGGGTTGATTTTTGGGAGATATGTGGAAGAAAGCCATTTCGTGATAAAGAATGGTGCGTGAATATTTTTTTGATTTTTAGGAGATGTGAAATGTATTATTCTTGTATTTGTATTTAATAAATTAAGCATTAGTTATTAATTAAAAATATAAGATATGATGGGTATTAGTGTATTACTTAATTGCCATTAAAAACATGTTAAAGTAAGGGTTTTTAGGTAATTCATCTTTTTAATAAAAATACAAATAAAATATGTATTAGTGTATTACTAATTTGCCATTAAAAATATGTCAAAGTAAGGTTATTTTAGGTAGTTCATATTTTTACAAAAACACTCGTCCTTTTAGAGTAGTATAGATATTTATACTTTTAAACAGAAATGTCATACTATAAAAAAATACATAAATAAAATTACTATATTTCATAATATAAATTTATTTTTATTAGAAATATATGACAAATTACCTCTCTTAACGACTACCTCAAACAAAAATTTGTGTTAATGTATCTTTAAAAAAATTATCCCACAAGAGGCATATGTATGGAATTTTTACGAACTCTTAAAATGGCACAACAACAATAACCAGGGGCGGATCTAAAAAAATTTAGTGGAGGAGGTGGTAAACAATATATAATTTAAAAAAAAAATCACAAATTGAATATAGTAGAAAAAATATGTACTTCCAAACGTTGCTAGCAATTAGAGTTGTTTAAGTTTCTCAAAATATGGAAAATTGTTGACTCGAACCCGTACAATATAAACGTACATAAAATAAAAAAAAAAAATATCATGTTCGATTTTTCTATAAGCATATATCATATATTTCCACCACATTAAATTGCATATCATGAATGCTCCGTATATTAAATTTACTCCTCGTATTAATTTATATACAAGCATATTTATAGAAGACTTACAAGATCTAATTATTATTTGTAATTATTAGTATATGGACTAGTACAAACAAGTTAGAATTGTTGTGCATATTCTTCTAGTAATACTCTTCTATAAATGCTCTATTTTAAGGTAAGATTGTTGATTATCAAAGCGCTAATTTATTTATTTAAATTGAGAAGCAATATAAAATTATAATTTTACATATACATAGTAGGGAAATAAAATGTGTGTGTGTGTGTGTGGGGTGGGGGGGGAGGGACAATGGCCTCCCCCAACATACATGTGGATCCGTCCCTTGACAACAACAACAACAATAACAACAAAAACAGCAATAATAATCTATATCTATATCTATATCTATATATATATAAAGAGGTTGTTGGAAAAATACATTAGTAGAAAGTTTGACCAAATAAATACAATGTTTGACTTACTATTAATGGAAAGTTCAAAAAAAAACACATGTGAATCTTTAGTAACAAAATCTAAATCCTATTTTTTTGGTAATAAATTTGGATATTTTTTATGGCAAAATTTGAATCCCATTTTTTAGTATCATATTTTATTTTTTTACCAAAATTTAAATCATATTTTTTTGGTAACAAATTTGGAGATTCTTATGCAAAAAATATGTCAATTGTTTGTGAAAACAATTCTAAATGCAAATTAATTCAAAAACCGTGCAAACTGGATACAAATTTAGGAAGAAAAATAGTTGTATAATTCTTAACCAATTCTTCCAATCTTATTGAATAATTTTTTCTTTCAAAAAATTGTGTAAATTGGATAAAGTCACGTGCAATTTTTATTTTAAGATAAAACTGATATTTGGATGGGATGTACATTCAAAATTGTGTCCACATTTTTTGGTAACAAAAGCGGTTCATCATTGATATTTAAAGTCACCTTATCCAATTATTTAGGAAAAATTGTGTGTAACTTTTCAAAATTTTAATGCATCGATTTTTTTGAAGTATTATGTTTTATCTTATCCATGTTTTACCGAGATTTTGGTAAGTTCATATCATTTTTTTTGGTTAAGTTCATATCATTTTCTTTAGGAAAGAGACAGTTGCATAAATATTAAGAATTTATTTCAATTTTTTTATTAGAATTATTTTCAATTCAATTTGTTTGGTATAAAAATCAGTGCAATGTTAGGAAAATTTGGTTGCATTTTTAAGAAAAATTGATGATTTTTTTATTTTGTTTAAAAAAAATTCGGATCAATCTGTTTGATAAAAAAATCAGTTTATTGGTAAGAAAATCGGTTTCATTTCTAGGATAACTAATGATTCTTTTCATTTTTTCTTAATTGAAATTTAGAATTATATTTTAAAATAAATAATGGGTGAAAATCCCTAAAAAATTCTATTTTTTTTCTACTTAAATTTTGTTTAATAAATAAGATCCTTAATTTCTTTTTTAAAATTTGTTAACTAATAACTAATAATATGCAATTTTGACTAAATTCGAACACCTATGCAGTTCTTTACGTGCCAAAGAATCAAATCAATTATGTTGTACATAAGGAAGTGTTTAATAACATATAAATTTCATTTTCATGAAATTTTTAATGGCCTAAGACAATTTAAATACAAAAATAGCTTTTAAAAAATAAATGAATACTAAATGCTCACGTGCATCGCACGGGTACCGTACTAGTAATAATAATAATAATAATAATAATAATAATAATAATAATAATAATAATAATAATAATACCTTTGACAATTGTATACGTTGAATGGAGCTTGTAAGGAATTGCTGGTAAACTCCAGCTTCCAGAGCTGAATTAATCTTCTCTAGATTAGGTTCGTAATACCTATCAAATGAATAAAATTAGACTTATTAATACTTATATATACACTCAATTTATTCTTGTATTCTCCAAAATTAAACTTTTCATAGAACATAAAAATGGAAGAATATCCAATTAATTTCAGAATTATATTGTTTTTTTTTTACCTCATTTTCTCCTGTGACTCGCGCTGTCTCCTATTGAGTTTATCCAATTTTTCTTCAAGATCCTGAATTTTATTGAATAATAGCACATATTAAATGTTTTTTCATACATATGTTAATAATATTTTAAAATATATATTTATTTTTTAATACAAAATAATAATAATTTTCCATATTTTGGTTCATCATAATACTCAATTATTAATCTATCAAAAAATCTATTATCATATAATGTCATTATTATTTATAACACTTGTAGAAGTAATATATTTGTAATATAATGATAAATATGTAATGTATATTAATATTATTTATTGATGTAATTAATTTAAAAAGATATAAGCAAATTTAATGTCTGGTAGAATTGTGATTATATGTAAGTTTAGATAAAATGAAATGTATCAAAAAAATCTGCTTATGTAGTTTCCTTTAAATGTTTGAATGAATTTTAAATTCAAATTACAAATCAACCTCCAATTATTCAAATAATTTTAAAATAGTTACCAATTGTAGTAAAATGTACGTGACAATATATTGTAAATATACATGACGACGTCAGTAATGTTATGAATCTTTAAGTTCCTAAAATATATATTGTTTAGATATGAAACTAATTAACTTATATGTTAAGATAATATATATAAATATATGTATTGTACGAAATATACACGTGACAAGTTATTATATATTTGTTTATATATTGTTTGTATACTTGTTTGTATTGTTTATTATATCTGTTTATTATATTTGTATATAAATATATTGTTTATATGTTTGTCTGTATTGTACGACAAATTATTATATTTGTTTATATATTGTTTAAATATATATTGTTTAGATATGAAACTAATTAACCTATATATTAAGATAATATATATAAATATATGTATTGTATGAAATCTTTAATGTGTTTGTTAAATTTTTCTCCTAAAAAATTCAAAATACATTTAGGCATGTTTGTTTGAAGTTTGAAATTTAAATATGCATCTATATAACAAATCCCATGATTTATGCTACCATTAAATGCTACTTAATTTTTTATTAAAAATATTAAAAAAACATACCAAAAATTTACTGAAATAAATATTCACTATTTTTAAAAATGTTAATTCTTATTATATACTATATAGATTAAGCTAGAAATAATTCCTGACTTCCACGTATTAAATACGGTTTTAAACTTTAAAGCCATCAATTAAAATTGTGATTTATGTATTTGATTTATTATTAATAAGCACAACGAGGTAATTAACTATTACTCCCTTAATTTTTTAATATAAGACATCTATACTTATATTAAAGGGGGTACTATTTACCAAATTAAGTAGCCAGAAAAGTCAACAATATTTATTGCATTACTATTTCCGTATTATATTATATAAAAGGATATTCTATTTATTACATTTACTATCCAGAAAAGTCAACTGCATTAAATGTCATTACTATTTTGGTATTATAATATTTTATTTATTTAATTAATTTATTTATTTGTTTTATCTGGAAAAGGTAAGTATAATAAAAAAATTTTAATAATAAAAAAATCAAATACCAAATAAAAATGTACGCTTTGACTTATTTGATTATATTTGGTATTTGATTATACCAAATATATTCCTATTTAGTATATACATTAAATACTTACTAAAGTATTTATTTATTTTATTTGTCAAAGTTAAGTATAAATTTGTTTATATTATCAAATCATAAAAAAATATTAAATCCATATTGTGAAAAAACATATTCATATAATTTTATAACAATTCTACTAAACTATTTAACAATATTTCTTTTTTATTATATAGTAAAATAATAATTAAATATTATATGGTGAACAATAATAAGTAAAACTGTTACTTTCTCTTATATCAAGGGATAAATTTATATACTAAAATTAAATTTTTATTAGTATAAATGTTTGAGTGAGATAATATATTAATTATTTTACAAGCTAGCCCTAACATGCTCATATTTAATGTTTTAAAAGATGTAGAAAAAAACTTATAATAACTCTATTGTTTTTTAGACTTAAACGTTAATTAAAAGAGGTAAAAAATCCTAATTTTTTAGACTTAAACGTTGATTAACACCATAGATTGAGAGTTTATATTTAGTAAAATTCCTAATTGTAATAAAAGAATTAATTTTTGCTATATTTTAGAATATCTTTAAATTCATTATAAAAAAAAAAAAACTACAATTAATGAAAAAAGCAAGTCAGCTATACATCGATTTGTTGTACTCCTCAAATCACATTCACAATTTAGCTACAAGGAAAGGAAATTCATTGATTAAATATTATTTTGTCAGTAGTCTTAATGTACAAGAGACTTTAAGACTCCACTTGAATATTATAAAACTTTTATTGAACATTGTACAATTTCTTGCGTATTATAGACTTTTATTGGATGTTGCATCTTATAATATAATATTCTCCAACTAAATATATCCCTTGTTTCGCACGTACTATACATATCCCCTACATTTTTCTTTATTCATGTATATAATTATAAGCATGGGTAAATAGCCTTAAAATTGTGCACCTCGTGCATCGCACGGGCTCTGTACTAGTTTAAGGTTATTGCACAAATATTAAGGAGACATTAATTAATGAATAAATTGACTAAATTAACCTTACTTACTCTAATCGCAACCACTCCACACTTCCTTAATTTCAACACAATGAGGGTATATTTAGAAAAAAATGCAAAAATTTGTCTTGATTTTTGAGCGCGTCTTATATTTCAAAAAAATTGAAAAATCTTTATACGCCTTATATTTCAAAATGGAGGGAGTATTGTTATTATATATATCATTCTTGAGTTTAGACATATTAATCGTAAATTATGATCTCTATATCAGATTTCTTGGTAATTGACATTATGGTGAATTTCACCACCTACACCACATATGTATGCGTAATTAAGGGAGTAATAGTTAATTTATTTGTTCATTATTATTATAATAATAATAATACTACAAATACTATTACTAGTAGTATTAATTAAAATATAGTTTTTAAATTGATTCAGTAGTTCATGTAATCACTCAATTATAAAATTAAAATTTTAATTTAAATTGGTCCTCTATTACATATTTCCAAATTCCAACCAAATATAGAAGAATCTTCCACATAAACAACAGCAATTAATGTTCTCGCTTATTAATGTAAGGCAAATTATTAAACTCAAGTAAAATTCAAACTAACTTCAAAATTTCCAGTTTAGACCTAAAAATTAATTAGTGCATATAATTAATTGATCTGCAGAAGAAAAATTAATTAAATCCAAGTCTAGTATTTTACCTCAATTCTGAACTTTGGCCAGCAAAATCAGCAATTGTTCATATGTGACACAATGAAATTAAAAATATATGAGAAAAATGTACATACCAATTAAATTAAACTAATTAAAGCAACTATATAATAGGAAAAAAAAAAAAAGAAAATAGTTAAGCAATAAAATGGTGGTTGTGTGTATATTACATGGCTATCTTTTCCAGCATCTCCCCTTCATACTTCAATTGCTTGAGCCTTTGAGACAATAACTACATATTTATACATAATTAGTTAGATTCTAGAGTTCTAAAACGAGTCAAGCCGAGCCGAGCAAGTTTGAATCTTGATGGGTTCAAGTTTGATTCCTTATCAAGTCGAGTCGAGCTTGACTCGTTAAGCTTACTAGCCAATAAATGAGTTTATAATCGGCTCGTTAACTCGTCGAACTCGAACTTAATAATACTAAAAATATAAGAAATTACATAAAAAAAAGTCCTAAGTAATTAGCAGCCTAACGAGCTTTAACAACCCGAGTCGCCAAATTGTTTCGTTTAACAACTCTATAGATTCTCACCATTTTTATCCTTATTTTTTTTTTATCTTTTACTATCAAATTGTTAATGTTTGAACTTTGAATCAATTTTCCAGAAGATGTGACAATAATAGTAACAATAGTCATGATAATTAAAAAAAAANCATTGTTAATGGGCCTGCACATGAAAATAATAAAAAATGTTGTTAATTGAATGAAAATTAGATATACTTAATTCTAAATATGATTACAATAAGGTGAAAAAAAATAAAAAATTAATGCACACATACCCTCCTCTTAGTTCATCAGGCCTGTCAACAAAACGTAGGAAGATATCCTCAACCCTGCTGTAGAAATATTATGAAAAACAAGAAGAATGTGAGTAAGTTAATACAATAACAACTAACTAAATGAAATGAACATAACAAAATTAAATGATTAATCACAAACATATAACCCTCGAGCCCCATTTGATTTCGAAGTAAAACAATTCAAAATCATCGATACCAAACAACATTGAGATTATATTGTTCCGATTAAGTCGTTACAATGAATATTTTGAAAAAAAATTCTCTCGATTTGTGAATCTATATCTAAAAACCAAAAGATATTGTGGACCGATGGATTTCGAAGTAAAATGATTCAAAATCATCAATACCAAACAAAACTTAGATTATACATTGTTCGAGTTAAGTCGTTGACAATGAATATTTGACACGATATTTAAAACATTAAAATTTCTTTCGATTTGTGAATCTATAACTAAAAACCACAAGGTATTATCGATCGATGGGTTTTGAAGTAAAATGATTCAAAATCATCGATACCAAATAAAACTCATGAGATTATATATTGTTCGAATTAAGTCGTTGACAATGAATATTTGACACGATCTTCAAAACGTTGAAAAACAATTACTTTCGATTTGTGAATCTATAACTAAAAACCAAAAGATATTGTCAATCGATGGATTTCGAAGTAAAATAATTCAAAATCATCGATACTAAACAACAGTCATGAGATTATATATTGTTCGAATTGAGTCGTTGACAATGAATATTTGACACGATCTTCAAAACATTAAAAAACACTTTCTCTCGATGTGTGAATCTATAACTAAAAACCAAAAGATATTGTCAATCGATGGATTTCGAAGTAAAATAATTCAAAATCATCGATACTAAACAACAGTCATGAGATTATATATTGTTCGAATTGAGTCGTTGACAATGAATATTTGACACGATCTTCAAATCATTAAAAAACAATTTCTCTCGATGTGTGAATCTATAACTAAAAACCAAAAGATATTGTCGATTGATGGATTTCAGAGTAAAATGATTCAAAATCATCGATAACAAACAACATTGAGATTATATATTGTTTGGATTAAGTCGTTGAAAATGAATATTTGACACGATCTTTAAAACATTAGAAAAACAGTTTCTCTCGATTTGTGAATCTATAACTAAAAACCAAAAGATATTCTCGATCGAGCTAATCTTTATTTTCTCTATCCACCAATATATATACGTATATACTTATTCCACACCCGTTTATTCAAAAAAAAAAAAACCTTCCGTCACTAGCAAAAGTTGTGAGTCGTCCTGTTGGCGAAAACATGATTAGGGCAACATCTGTATCGCACAATACTGATAGCTCCTTCGCCTTCTTCACGATTCCATCCTTACGCTTCGCGTAAGTCACTTGACGAGCGGCGGCATTTTCAATGCGCCTCATCGCAAGCTTCTTGCGCCCCATCGAATGCGAACCACATGAAGAAAAAGGAAAAAAGAAAGAAAGAAAAAACCAAAGAAAAAATGAGTGAAAATTGAAGAAAATGGATTGTATTTGTGACCTTTTTTTTTCTCTCTTTGGTCACATATAAAAGAGTCAATTCAATTAATGTTGACCCAAGCCACAAAGTATAAATGCTAATTTGAGTCATAGTCAATGGAAAATCTGGGTGTGAAGCTAATGTGAGAATCTGGAAATTCAATACACAATCTGAAAAGTGAAGGAGAAGATGCTGTCAAGGGCTTTTTACCAAAAAGTTCTTGCCCACAAAGTCATGCATTCACACAGAACATAAATAATAAAATTGCACACAATTTAATATAGGGTAGAAGGTAAACGTACTTCTAATAAATGAATAACGATATCACAAAACAAAATATAAAATTTTGATTTTCCTTAAGACAAAGTATTAGAGATATATATAAAGTTCTTAAATCATAAACAAAAAAAAAAACAAATGAAGAAACAAAACAGAAAAAACTAAAATTATTAAAAGTCTAAAATGAGCTGAAAAATGAATTCAATTAGAATCGTCATTTCGCTTCCAAAAACATATTATAACAGCGATTGCGAGCCCAAACTTAAAAATTACGTTCGTTTCAATTTCTGCCTACGAACGCCTTTTGAATGATTTTCGTTAACTCAAAACTCGTCTTCTACATGTTTCACATCGTAATTTCGAATGAATAAAATAAGAGTTGAATAATTTAGAAAGCTATATGAAAACTCTTTTGGCAAGTTGAACATTAAATATATATGTAATATTATTTACTTGTAAATTCAATTTTAGAAGTAAAATTGGTATGGATAACTCTGGAATATACACAAAACCCTTATAACTATATTCAACCGTCACAACCGTTGCTGCAATTATAACCGCCGTTGTTGTCGTCACGGTAGCCAACACTTTATCCTGAATTTGATATTTATACTTTTGCAAAGAAAAACTCTTGAAAATAAAATCAAATAATAATAATAACAAATAACAAATATAAATTGANTAAACACGTGAATTTGTACAAAACCCGTGAAGCGCAAACGACGTCGTAGAGATCCCAAATTCATCAACCAATGTTCCTCCACCGGAGCTCCAAACGATCCATCAATGGAGAAGCACGTACAGATTCTCCTCAATAGGCTCTCCTTCGCCTCCATAGCCATAGCCACGCTGACCCTCTTTCTCCTCTACCTCCAAACCCCCGACAACTGCGTCGACCCGTCCGACCCGAACCCGAAACCCCACACCCGTTTCCCCAAATCCACCTGCGACCTCACCCACCGCCGCTACACCTCCGTCGACAAGCGCAACCGCCGTCTCTGGTCCACCAACGCCTGGAAAAGCGCCGTCGCCTCCTATTCCTCCCTCCTGACGGCCCTCCAGGCCCGAAACCACTTCTCGAACGACTCCCGGGCCCTTGTCGTCTCCGCCGGGCCGGGCCACGCCGTGCGGGCCCTGCAGGAATTGGGGGTGGAGGAAGTCACCGGAGTGGAGCTGGTGGGCTCGCCGCCTCTGGTGACCCGGGCGGATCCCCACAACCTGCCATTCTTTGATGGGGTGTTTGATCTCGGGCTCGGGCTGTACCTGGATCGGGCCCTTTTCCCAGGCCGATTCGTGGGGCAGATGGAGAGGACGGTGAGGAGCGGTGGGGTTTGCTTTGACTGTAGACGAGTGTGGGGGGAATGAAGTGAAGGAGATTGTGGGATTGTTTAAGAAATCAAGGTTTGTTGATGTGAGAAATTTGAGTTTGGCTGGGGAGAGGAGGACAGTGATTGTTATGAAAGTTGAGGATAATTCATGAATCTTGAAAAAGATCCCAACTTTTTTCCTTTTCTTCTTATTTTCCCTTTACCCTTTTGGCTGCTGATACTTGCTTTAAGCTGCCATGTCTCTTGCAGTAAGTATTTATGTTTGAAAAATCTTTGGGATGAAGTTGAGATGTGTATCATGTGGATTTTTGGATTTGATCTTGTGGGTGTTTCATTTTGTAAACCTCCTTATATTTCTGCAGGATTAGTTATATGAATTGCATCGGTATTTTTTCATGCATTTTCTTGGTTTTCTGCTGGTGAGTTGCTGCATGACTGCATAGAGGAAATGGGAATTCATATGAGATTCATTATGTGCAGTGGAGTTTTTTTCGCAAGTATATCTTACGTAGGCTTTATTGGGGCAGTGCACCCTTTCAAAAGGGAGTTCGTTCGGCAGACTACATGTGGTTATGCATGTAGAGATTACACAGACACTCATATTTTTTTTTTCTCCAGAAAATTGACTTGAAATTGTAGCATGATCCATGTTCTTATTTATGTTTTTCCCTAGTGAGAGCCATTAATGTCCTTTCGGTCTTGGTAAAAATGTGAACTTTTTGTAATTGACAAATTGCAGTTTTTGCGTTGTGCATGCGCTTTAAGTTCGTTTAGTTAGTTGCGCAACACTGAGATTTTGGCTTGTATGTCTTGTAAATTTACTTTTGACCTTGTTCAATTCAGTGGATTTAGCTGCTATAAGAACAATTACCTAATTCTAAAATTTTGTACAATGGATATTACAGTTGCTTTCTAGTGCTTGGTCCAGGTTAACACATATTCTATAATTGCGCTCCCTTAAATCGGATAAATGTAACCGCAATCTTGATTTACTGAGGTTTACCTGCACAAGCAGGGGACACTCTAGCCAATTAATCTGATAAAATTTATTTCCATTCTGTCTGGTTCTGATCTTACGAAGATATAACATTCTTCAATAATTTTGGCAATTATTATTAGCAAAACGTCACTTTTATATATGTATAGAAGATGATTTGAGTGAACTGTAACATTTTTGTGATATTTGAAGTGAACCCGTATGTATTGTTTTTTCAAGGTTGCACAAGAACAGGACAGATTTGGCAAGTCATTACACTTGGATAAATTGAAAAGAAGTGTATATTGAGTGGAATCAGAGCTCGGTTTTTCCCTACGTAAACTTGACTGATGATTCGACAAATTTATGAAAGACGGATTAGTTCGTTGATTTGGCCAATGGGCTCGTAATTTGGCTGTGGAGTTTTTCTTTTTTTTTTGGATAACTGTGTTCTGTTATTTACTTTATCTTCTAAAAAAGAAGTCATTTTATTTTTTGAACACAAATTTAGTGCATTGTGTACAATTTTTATCTTCTAAAAAGAAGTCATTTCACTTTTTGAACACAAATTTAGTTTATTGTGTACATTTTCTTCCTACCAATGTGCTATGTCAACTTGAGCAGAGCAAAATTCAACCTTGGACATTTTTTATATTGGAATGGAAAAATGTGAGATAAATATAGAAAAAATGAATCTTTTTGTGAAAAAAAATCTGCTTGAAGATGAAAAAACTTTTGAAATTCTTCACGGGCAAACCTTAAACTAATAATTTGGCCTCAGATTCCCTTCCAATGTGAATGTGGGCTTCACGTGATACAGTGCCATCCACACAAGTCCTCTCCTTAACTAAACTCACACATACATATGGCAAAAAGTCATAAAGATTTTACCCTACCAGTAATTGATTGAATCGTCAACGGGTAAAAAAATACACAAATCCACATTGATGTATATTGATCTAACGGTGAAAAACTCAATTCAATTCGATCATGATCGTTTTCACCGTTGGATCAATAAAATGATAAAACGTACGTATGAGTGTGTATTGATCTTACGTGAAAAAAACTCTGATTTTGTCCCATCATCTTAACCTTTTGTTGATCCGAAATTGCAAAAATTGGTAATGGGCAAAATACAAATCTACCCAAAAAGTACAGAAAACAGATATACTGATACAAAAGAACCCAGATTATTCCCCTGCGCACAAATACAAAAAGAAGCCCCAAACTCATAATCACACGATTCATACCCCCAATACAAACTATAACCAACTGTCCTTTTTTCTTTTTTTCCCCAAAAGCTGAGAATTAAATTAAATCCCGCAAATAAAGGGGAAAATTTTCTGAAAATGTATGTCGGCAAGGCGACCAAGATCTTCATCTTCATCGTGGTCGCCGTCGCCGTCACCGGAATCGTCCTGGGGCTCGGCTTGCTCCGGAGACGCGGGGCTCATGACGAGTCGCACAAATGCTCTCCCGATTCATGCCCGCAGCCCGTGATTCTCCCCACTCCGGCGAACCCTAATCCGTCCTCCAGTTTCACGCCCAATCCGTCCGTGGCTCCGCCGCCGCCGCCGCCTCCTCCGCCGCTGAGCGATAATCCAGGCACGGGCCTCCCCGATTCGCCGCCGCCGCCTCCGAGCAGCGATAATCCGGGCTCGAATGTTCCGAATCCCGCTCCGCCTCCGGCGACATTGTCCTCTCCACCGCCTCCAGTGCCGGATTATTCTCCCCCGCCGCCTGTGGTGGTGTCGGTGTCGCCGCCGCCGGCGCTCAGTCCGCCGAACCCGGTTCCGGCGTCGCCCGGACCAGGAACTAATTCTTAAGTGCCCTTACATTGTTCCTTTTCAATTCTGCATAAGGTTTTGTTTTTCTTTTCGCAAAACTAATAGTGTATTTTGTGCAGTAAAAAAAAATGGGATTTTTGATTTGCATTGCCTTCTTGTATATTAATTTTATTTTATTATATTTTTTTTTTTGATTTATGATCTTATAGATGAGTAATTTTGTATCTGATTTTTAAATGCCTTATGAATGCTATTTATTGAGTTGGAGTGTTGGAGATGGTTTGTCTGTGCAGACCATTGTTCATCTTATCTATTCACTTTCTTTAATTATGTCAGTCCACCATACACACACGATTAGATTTCGATCTCGAACTTAGATAAACTTGAGCCTTAAAGAGCCGATCTATAGAAAATTACATAAAAATTCATGATTTTGAGCAAGATTAGCTCCGTTCGGCTAGCTCGTTACTAGGCAAGTCGGGTTTGAGCTTGAGCCTTTTATCGAGGCTCTACTCGGCTCGTCTATTATTATTAATGAGCTGAATTCAAGCTCGAGCCTTCTAGTAAACTTGAGTCTTAACGAGTCGAGCTATAAGAAGTTACATAAAAATTCCTGTTTTCGAGCGAACTCCGCTCGTTAATTAATAATCCAAACTGAGCTCGACCATTGAAGAGTCTTGACGAGATAACCCGAGCCGAACTGAGCTTACAAGCGACTCGTCTATTTAATAGCTCTGGTCCCACCTTAGGACTGTCAAAATTTGAGAACTAAATTTGGATAATAATCTATTTTTTTTTTTTTTTTTTTNCTCACCATGATGAGTTTATTAAAAGTGTTTATAATTAATTATGACTTACTATAAAGCATGTCATGCCATGATAAAATCTATTGTAGGGTGCTTGGCGCTTGGGTAATAATTAAGCTTCAATTCAAAAGTGCTCTCAAAAGTCATAAGATGTTCAATAGTACATTACACCCTGCCTAGTTTATTCATCATAAAAGGAAATGTGTGCGTGTGTGTGCGCGTGTCTAGCCAGAGATTATTAATTTTCAAACTGGTTACAACTTCATTTTAGTCATTCGCCTTGCTGTTGAGGAAAACATATTGCTCGTATCTCACGGTGCAACTAGCGGCGACCACCCTCCCGCCCACGCTGTACACTTCCCGTTTGTAGATTGGCAGCTCCTTCACTACCTGTTTAAGACATTTTTTGCAATCGCCTGACGAGAGATCTCGGGTGCAGAACGCCATGCCGTGCACCGTCACATTTTGGTTAAAAAAACGATCTCCTCCGGCAAACATCTTTTTGTTGTTGTTGCTACTGGCGTCGTTCGACAGGTCTGTCAGCAGTTTTATAGTCATCTCCCTGTATTTCTCTGCATCGTTGTTGGTCATGTTTTCCACGTTGATCATAATAATATTGTCGTCCGTGTCGACTTTCCCAAAGAAGTTCTCGTCTGAGTAACGGACTTGGCAATTGTCATACCACACCATAGCTGCGGTGCTGTTGCAGCGCCGGGTGATCTTGCACCGGGCATCGTAGAGGCAGTCGTCGCAGTCGTCAGACGAGACGTCGCCGCGGCAAAGGGCGAGCCCGTACGCTGCGGAGGTGACGTCTCCGGGGCCCTGCGGGCCCCATGATTCTTTCATGAACCCGTTGTTGGAGGACGTGCGGTTATAGAAGAGGTCGAGGAGATACTTGATGTTTTTCGCATAGGCATTCCCGTCAGAGTAGGTACGGGAGTTGTTGGCGCATATTTTTTGGAGGAGGGGGCTGTCGTCGGAGGTGGCGATCGGGAAGAGGAGAGGCATTGAGAGGAGGAGTAGGAGGATTGAAGGGAGAAAGGTCAAGGAACCCATGTTTAGTGTTGTAACTATGGAGATTGGGGATTTGGGATTTGGTTTTTGGTGTATATTAGTTTGATGCTTTTGATTTGAAGGTGGCTTGATGAGTGCAATATTTATAGAGGTGAGGAGGGTGCTTTGTCTTTTAGTTAGGGGGAGATAGGAGGGGCATAGTGTTCAACGTTCAAAGGGAAAATAGTTTTCTCAAAAGAAAATGTCTTCACATATAATTCCAACTTAGAATAAAAAAAGGTTATTTAATTTTTTTACCCAAATTCTTAGAGAATGTTCACCGAAAATGCATACTTATACTATTGGATATCATTAGATGTGGTTAAAATTGAATTGAAACCGTAGAATCGACCCGGTCAAACTCGTTTATCACGAGTCTTGAACCGAACTGTGAATTTATCCAGGTCGGTTCAGGTTCAAGCAAAATAAAATATTTGAACCTCGGTTTTAATTCAAGTTCGAACCTGAACCGACCTGGCAGCCTGTTTCTATTTTATTATTTTTTTTCCAAAAAATAAAAATTTATAATAAAAAAATTGATTTTTCCGCTTCCTGGCTGAGCCAGGTCGGATCCGAAACCGGAACAATTCAAATCTAGACAGTTGGATCGTCTTGACGTGATCCAATAGTCCTTTTTAATAATAATAAAACAATATCGAAACAGCCGATTCAAGCCGCTTCGGTCCGGAACTGGCAGGCCGATTATGAACTGTGAACCGCCAGTTCTATGAACCGACAAATATATATAATCGGGTCCGTTTCGGTCCACATAAAAAGAAAAATTTTACCGGTGGTTGCGAATCGGAACCGACCTGTGGACACATCTAGGGATCATGTTTTTGTTTATATTGTTTTTTTGGAGTAGAACATTTAAGTTTGAAAGTGTGTATAAATGTTTGTTTACGTTGTTTTCTGGAGTATGATATTTCAACTTAAAAGTATGTATACATGTTAAGAATAGCAATGGCCACGGTTCGGAATTGGCCCGACAAATGGCCGAAAACAGCACGGGGTCGACAATTTTGGAAGCAGCCCGGACAGTGAACCAACCCGACATTCGGTCTTGTCTGGTTCAGCTTTATTACCGGAACCTCTGGTTTGGCACCGAAATTATGATTTAAAATTTGATTTTTTTTAATTTTCCCGGTAGGGCCCGTTCGGGCTTGAACCGCCGGACCGATTCCGAACCTGCCCGGTGTGAATAACTATTAAACTGTAACATCAATTTGCCAGTTCTCACATCTCAATAAACCACATTACACTAATATGAATATACGGTCTGTGTAAATTGTGCGTGGTTTAGCTCATATAAGTGACAACCATTATATGATTTGCTTAACCAATCAAAATCAAAATTTTCTAATGTTATTCTAATGCCATTCGATAGCTATAATAAATTTATTATGGGGACAACATATACTTATTAATAAATTA